TCAAATAGCAACGCCCTTATATCAATTGTTAAAGAAAGGGGGAAAATTTGATTGGACAGATGAGCACGAGGAGTCCTTCAAAAAATTGAAATGTAGAATAGGAAAAGAACCTGTGTTAGTATGTTTTAATAATGAATTGGAAGTCATATTAGGGTGGATGCCTCTAATAAAAGTGTAGGAGCATTGTTGCATTATATTAATGAAGTTGAAAGGCCTGTGCTATTTTTTTCAAGGATATTTAGGGCAGCAGAGACCAGGTATTCAGTAATAGAGCAAGAAGCATTGGCCGTTATTTTCGGACTAATTAAGTGTCGTGAGTATTTAATTGGACGCAGATTTGTTATTTACATAGACCATAAGCCGCTTGTACATCTTTTCAAAAAGGACAATAAGGAATTAATGCTATCCCCCCCGGTTACAAAGATGATTACTGCTAATGGGGAGTTTTGGTCCAAGTGAAATATCGCAGAGAGAGAGAAAATTATTTACCGGACGTTTTATCCAGGTGCGGAGCGGGGGAGGATTTCGGGGAGAAAGAGCAAGAGGAACGGGAAGAAGAAAAGGAGCAAGGACTGATTAGAATTATGGTTAGAATATCTAGAGGAGGGTCCGTGACATGGGAGGAAATTAAAAGGAGTTTGAAGGATCGGGAACTGAGACGGATCAAAGCTTGCCTTAAGGGACGGAAAACGTGGGAAGATGGAGACAAGACCTATAAATATACACAAAAATTGGCAATGATAGATGAATGTTTGGTGCGAGGAAATAGGAGTGTTATACCGTCCAAGTTAAGGGAAGCTGTAATGGCGATGATTCATGCTGGACATCAAGGAATGGAGAGGATGAAGCAATGGGGACGGGAATATGTTTGGTGGCCAGGAATGAACAAAGACATTGAAAATATCAGTCGAGCTTGTGTTAGATGTAATTCTTGGGCTCCAATGCCTCGAAAGGATAAGGAAAGTGTGTGGCCGTAAGCAACTCAGCCTTGGGAACGCATCCACTTGGATTTTTTTGACTTTGAGAATAGAATATATATTGGTGGTAGATGCTTTTTCAAAATGGGTAGAGTATGAGTCGTGATAAAAGTATTGAAAAATTTATGGGCTAAATTTGGGGTCGCTAGGACAGTAGTGACGGTTGGGGGTCCTGCTTTTAATAGTAGACAGTTCAAAGTCTTTTGTGCGGAAACTGGAGCGAAACACATTTTAGCGCCGCCGTATCATCCAAGTTCAAATGGACAAGCGGAGAGGATGGTAGCGGTAGTCAAGAACTGGTTGAGAAAGTCAAAGAATGGAGGCGGAAAGATGTAGGTAGCAGTGGCGTATTATAACAACAGTAAAATGGGGGAGGAGTCGTCGCCGGCAGAGAGGTTTTTAGGACGGAGAACTAGAATTTGGTTGGATTCGCTGAAACCGACAAGACAGGGAAAGAAGCTGTCCGAGACCAGGAAAGAAGCTGTCCGAGACCAGGAATGAAGCGGAATTCAAGGTAGGGCAGACAGTATGGGCGAGGATATTTGGAAGTAATAAGAAATGGGAATCCGGGGTGATCATGGAAAACATGGAACACAAATTAAATCGAGTGAAATTCATCGACGGAAGAGAGGGAGTACGGCATCGAGAACAATTGAAAAGGGGCGTGGAACCTGGGAGATTACGATCGGGATTATAAATAGGATATAATTGATGAGATAATGAATATTGATCGAAAATTCAGGGTGGAAAAATATTCATCTTAGTATGGTGCTCAATATATCCTAGGAAAATGGAAGGGAAAAGTTAAACCAGAGGTATGCTAACTCAATACAGGGGTGATTGATAATAATAATAAAAAAGGGAATCAACCATATAGGGGTTAATGGGACAAAATGGTTAATGGAAGGTGTAAATGATAAATGGAGCCAGATCGAAATAAGACGTGATTTCTACAAGGAATCGACAATAGCGGCACATAAAGGGAGAAGACTCAATAAACTAACCACCGTATAAATTCGTGAAAACACCATAAAGGGACGATAATTATGTAGGGTGAGAGGTGAAATGAGAAGTTGGGTTTTCAATTAGTGGGGGCGTGTTATGTGTATCGTGTTTTAGGTATAGCATGGAGTCATTTTGTATAATAAGCATTTTATTTGTGATTAATATTTTTTGCGCATTCATTCTTTTAATTTTTATTTGTGATTAATATTTTTTTTTGCGCACAAAAACGGCTAACTCAATATTATCGCCAGAAAAATATTGAGTAAGCCTCGAAATTTCGATACTATATGTCTAGACCTTTGCTCCTTCTATGAGCAAAATTTTCAGGCTTGCATAATATTTTTCTGGATAAAAAACTGAGTTAGCCGTTTTTAAAAATGGGCTCAAAACGAGCCGTTTAACGACATATTTTATTTTTTTTTATTCTAAACAGATATTTAATTTATTACAAATTGATACTATAAAAAATTTGTGTAAATAATATTTTGAGAATAACTATGTATTTATAAAAAAAATAAAAATGATATTTTAATTAATAAAAAATATAACATATATTATATATTATATAATAATGTATTTAATATTTTGCGTATTTATTCCATGGCAAAACTATAATTTTATTATATAATTGATACTATGAGTGTTAGCTAGTGTTAACTTTCACCAAATATTATATTAATCATAACTATATATAATCATTATAACCATATCTAATTGACGAATATAATAATTCATGTTGTATAAATTTTTTTTAAAATACGGCTCGGGTTTTTTAAAAAACGGGCCGGGCCTGGCCGGGCTTAGGGCCGGGCCTGCAGGTCTCTGAGATATATATATAGATAAAAAAAGGAAATAAAAACAGTTGTCGTTTTTCCAGTTGTTGTCTATTTTTTTTAGAAATTTTCTTTAGATAAAATTAAACTTTGTTCAAAAGAAAAGAAGAAAGAAAAAAAATATTACAAGTAAGAAATTATATATTTTATTGTAAAAGTGCAGTAAGAGAAAAAGAAAATAAATATGTTAATGCATTCTTTAATGATATTAATATATATTGGAATTACCTGTTAAATAATTAGTTATCATAGATTTAATAATATAATATATTTTTATATTATTATAAAAATTAGGGCTGTGCCGATATTAAATATCGGATAGGATCGGTACCGATATTTGGCGTTTACCGAAAATATCGGATCGGGCCGATACCTGTAAAAATCGATCCGATTTGGTCTTTTTACTTTTCTTTTTTTTGTTATTTTATTTATGTATATTTATTTGACATTATTATAAAATTTTCTAAATAATTTTTTTAAATTTTATTTCTTTTTTAAAATAGATTTATAGTATTTTAAAATATTTTTTTATAAAAATAGAAGGGAACACCCAAAGTTTTATTTATTTTAAATCTTTTTAAATAACGCCAATTTTTTATTTCTACTCTAAATAAAAGAATTTTTTTAAATATGGTATCTGAATTATGGAAATATTTACAAAAGACAAAGATAATTTTGCAAAATGCGTTATTGCGGATCTAACCCTGCCTACAGGACGGCAGGAGATATAGATAGTCCATATCGTAGACGCTTATTCCCAGAAAATCTAGAGGCTCTCATATTTATTAAAAAAATCTAATATATTATAATTTTATATATTAAATATTACAATCTTATAATTCCAACATAAAATGGATATATTATTAAATATATATTTTTTTATTATAGTCTTAATTGTAGAAATAAAAAAATTAAATTAAATTCGTAATTCGATTTTTTGCATAAAAAATATTGATTTCTTAATTACATTTGGTTCAAACGGGGGTGATTAAAAATCAGTAAAAATATCGGATCGGGGTTGAAGCAATATCGGAAATATCGGATCGATGAAAAATATGTGGATCGGCACAGCCCTAATTATAATATTTTCTAAATAATTTTTTTAAATTTTATTTCTTTTTTAAAATCGATTTATAGTATTTTAAAAGTTTTTTATAAAAATAGAAAGGAACACCCAAAGTTTTATTTATTTTAAATCTTTTTAAATAAAGCCAATTTTTTTATTTATACTTTAAATAAAAGAATTTTTTAAAATATGGTATCTGAATTATGGAAATATTTTACAAAAGACAAAGATAATTTTGCAAAATGCGTTATTGGGGATCTGAGTCTGCCTACAGTACGGCAGGAGATATAGATAGTCCATATCGTAGAAGCTTAGTCCCAGAAAATCTGGAGGCTTTCATATTTATTAAAAAAATCTAATATATTATAATTTTATATATTAGATACTACAATTTTATAATTCATACCAACATAAAATGGATATATTTTAAATATATATTTTTTTATTATAGTCTTAATTGTAGAAATAAAAAAATTAATTTCATAATTCTATTTTTTGCATAAAAAATTTTGATTTCTTAATTACATTTGGTTCAAACGGGGGTGATTAAAAATCAGTATAAATATCGGATCGGTTTTGAAGCACTATCGGTAAATATCTATCGGATCGGTAAAAAAATATGTGGATCGGCACAGCCCTAATAAATATATTATAATTTTCTCAATTATAAATTAATAAAATCACTTTCATTGTTGTGTATTCATAATAATTGTCTAATTATGTTTATTAAACGTCTTAAAATTCATTTGAATTAAGTATTTATGTAGATAATTAAGATAATAATTTATAAAATCATAAAATAGATAAGTGGTTAGTTTTATATTAAAATAGATATGTTTAACATACAGATAATTGATTAAATTAGTGAATAATTAGATTTTTAAATACTTAAAAAAATAAAGAAATATCAACATAGATCCTTTTACAAGTATTTTACACTATTTCATATTTATAATAAAATTCTTAAATAATATATTATGGCCAGTTATTACATGGCCTACCCCAGTCTATCCTAAGTAAAATAGGATAGGCTTCTAAAAATCTGCATTTGTATACCTCTAATTTTGTTAAATATTTTTAATTGGAAAAGAGTTGATGTTTAATTTACATAATATATACCTTAACTTTTGCCAATTTTCTTCGAATTTTCATAGTTATCGTGTCCTTTAGATAATCACCACTCAAAATGTCCCAGGTGAGTCTCTCGATGAAAGCATTAAACCAACACAGTTCAGCATGAATCTTTAGACAATCCTCTAACATCACCTTAAAAAATAGTTGAAATTGTTTATATATTCCCAGATATAAGGTTATGACGATAGAGTAAAATTATAATTATATTCTGAAAAATCTTTAAATGATATATTATATCATCACCATGACCTTAAATAATACATCACCTCAAGAGATGATTTGTTAATAATAAAGATTCTATTAACTTTTTGTACAATTATATATCAATTTATTTAGATATAGTTTTAATATCTTTTTATTCCATTATATATTTATAATCGCGTATAGGGGAGACCGGGATAAAGTGATTGACGGAGTAACAATGTTAAACGAATAACTTCATAACCCTAGAGCTTAAATACTTTAATTTTGATGTGAAGATGTATTTTTATATCTACTTTCATACGTATGATTATCTTTTGAAAAACTTTCCCGGTTGGGAATATTTAAAAAACGGTTTTTACAAATTACATTCCAGTATTTTGCTTTTAGCAAAATTTAGAGCTAAGATTTTAAAAATTTGTTCTTTAAAGTCATAGCTATAAAATAATATATTTGAATAAGGATTTACACACTATATATCATCGTAGGGTTATGGTGCTATGGGTAAAATGGTTAAAATACTCCGTCTGATTTAAGCTGTAAAAAGATATTATTAAATTAACGTCTAAACCATATAAAATGTAACTTTAGTGCAAAAGAAACATTATTAAATAGCAGTCGTTAAAGAATCTAAATACAAGAATCTAATTATTATTAACAACAATTCCATTGATGTTCAAAAATATTTAAAGCAAATAAATTTATTTATAATTTTTCTAAATAATTTTTTAAATATTCCCCTGACTTTTAATGAATAAAAGTTTAATGTAAAATTTTTTAAAAAAATAAATGTACGTTTTAAATATTGATAAGGGGTAATATTGACATTTTATTATTATTTTATATAGTGTTCGTTTTGAATGAGAACAAATATAAAAATATTGCTTATATATTTTGTGCTCATAATAAGCTAAGTTTCTGTCCGAAAACATTGGCGAACCCTGTATATAAATATGATAAAAATTATGTCTGTATCTAGATACGTTTTTGATGAATTATTTGTATATCGATCCATTTAATAAGTAGTATCTTTTAACAACTCTGATAAATAACTTGTGTTATTTGTGAAATTTTATGAATAGTCTCAAAGGAAGAATAATTGAAATATACGATGTGCCTAAAATAGGCACATTCATAATTTACTATTTTTGATATAATTAATTAAACAATATAGCTATCAATTTTATTTTAATCACTATGATGCTTAGCCACTTTACTCTGGGTATAGGGTAAAATGGCACACTTCACATACTTAATCACAGCTCCTAAAGTATCATAGGTAGAGAGCTACACTTTTTTTATTTTGTAGATGACGAATTTGATTACTAATAAATATATAATTTGTTCTGTTTTATTAATATTTCAAAATAATATGGTAAAAATGCAATATATCAATCGTTTTACCCCAGTCTCCCACACCTTAATTGATAATCATTCTACGATTTTTATATTTCTATTATCATCTGAAATTCTTATAAAATAATATATATGTTAAAGAAATATGCTTATACTACATTATTAGGAATTATAATAAACTGTCCCATTAGTACACCTTTAAAAAGTATGTTCCAACCCTTTTTTCTTTACTTCCTTTAAATTATATTAACTAAAGATTAAGATATATTATGAGAAGGGTTAGAGAATATAACCTGATCATTACTATCATGGTATTTGAAGCCTTTTAGTTCTAAATTTTTAACATTCTTAGCATATAAGCTGTGATCCTTATCTAGTCTATTCAGCAAATTAGTCTTAGAATTATCAGTTGCTAAACTTTGAGGATGTTTGGATGAGATCGTTGATTGTTCAGAGTTAACATATGATGTTCCTGGAAATTTTTTTAGAAGACCCTCAAATATTAGTGGGCACAGATAAAGTCTAAGTTCTTGCTAAAAAAATATGTAAATAATTCTTGTTATTTGGTATGATAAATTATTATCCTATCCTATCTTATTAATTTTGATATCAATATTTGATTTGTGCGCAAGATAAGCTTGTAAAACTTACGTGCATTTATGATAATAGAAACTCTGAAATACTATTTAGGGGTAGGTTTATTGTTCAATTAAGTGATAATTTAACCAAAATTGAAAAGTATTGTATAAATGTATTTTACAGTGTCTATATGAAGTGTCGGATCAAAGAATATGCCCTTTTCTCCGAAATTTTCCTTTTTCAAACTATTTTGGTTAGCTCGGTGAATCTCAGAATGGTCAAAGTGATTGGAAGATGTCGATTCGGAGTCGATTATATGAGAAGTGGGAGAGATGTTGCGCTTTCCCTTGACCCATAGTGCGGTGGAGGACCTAGGATCAAGTTTACTGTCAAAATCTCGGCATAAAGAAACCAAATCTGATCCCGACCAATGTTTCGACATAGGACCGGGTAGGCTAAATAAATCACAATAAAGGCGGATAAACATATTGTCGCTTGAGTTATTTCGTTATGATTATATTATATTTAGGGATGGATGCTTTCGTCTATTTCGATGCGTAAAACCCTTAGAAAATATTTCATTTTTTTTCTTTCCAAAAAATCAATATTTTGTATTTAATGGCAGTGTTGTTAATCCATTAACGGATAGCGTACCAATTATGGTATATTGATCAATTAAAATTTTATCCATTTATGATTTTATTAAAAAATTTTAATTATTTTTTTCTTTTCATTCTTTACAATTTTGGCTTATTTTTGCAGGTTAACAACTTGTTCTCCAAATCTTCATATTTATAAAAAAGATAAATAATATGTTTAGCATATTTGTTAGAATCATCAGTAAACAATTATTTTAAAATATATAAAAAGAGATAATTGTTGTTTCATTATATAAAATGATATCAAAATTATATTTTTTAATTTATCACTAGATTAAATTATATGAATTATTTTCCTGTACCAGTGAAATTATCATACTTCCAGCAAGTGCTATGGCGAAAATGATATAGAGAACAATTTAGTAGATAATTCGAATCTACATGATATAGTAGAGAAAACTCTAATATATAGTGGTGATCATAAGCGTATTAGTAATTAGAAATTCCGATGAAAAAACTAAAGAAACGATCAAATGGGTATGCTTAATCATTTGGCAGGGTAAAAATATTGATAGGAATTTTATAGTGGGTATCAGGATCCTTCCGGGAACAAATATTCTGGCTGAATAAAATAGACTTATCTATTCCTCTTATTCGAAAAACCGTGTCTCATACATTTAAAAATGAAATGACTTTAGTTTAACTTTTCCTTAAAGACCTTTTCCTTTATTGATCGGATCGACCTATTTCCTTTTTTGATCGGACCTTTTCCAATAGCGTTACGTTACATGTAACGCTTTTATAATTCTATCAATTTGATAATATAACGAAGAGCACTGTAACTTAATTTTAAAACGTATAACCTTTGTTTTTCGGTATTTTTAAAATTTACTCATTCATTCATAATTGATAAAAATTTAAAACATCATGATATTTTCAGAAAACGAATTTATAGAAGCTGAAATTATTATGGATGATGATGAAATTAATGCCAAAGTAGATGAATTTAATACCATAGACTGTATTAATATCGATGAAAAGAAAGTTTTTTATTTTAGAATTTACATGCATCATTTAATGAATGTTATTTACTTAATCGAGATAATTAAAACTACAAGACCTTTTGAAACTATAATATCCTTAAAGATAAGATCTCCTGCGCTTGTTTCTAAGCCCAGTCCTGGAGACGCACATAAACACCTCTACAGATAAATTTTATTTATATCCAGAGTTGGAATTTAATTCTGCAAAGAAGTGATGTCAAAGTTAATTTTATATATTTTTTTATAATTTAAATAAAAATTTTAAAAATGACAATAAAATAAATTCTGAAAAATATACATATCTAAAAATTATATGCCATATCTATATAAAAAAATATGTAAAAAGAAAACTATTTTTAAAAAAAATAACTCGTTAGGTTAAGTCGGTGGGGCTTAATGACCCATGTATATATATAGTTTGAAATCAATATATGACATGATAAAAGAAATTTTTATTCGTTATAAAACAAATTTATCATCCTCCGCTACCGTGCAACGCCCTTTTCCTTTTCTAATAGAAGATTAAATTTCTATTTAAAAAATTAGTTCCTTTATCAAATGCTTAAAATTATATTTCTTTGTTAAAATTACTTTCGATAAAAAATATAAATAAAATAGTAGTTTATAGTTTTTACTGTCTTTTATTATTTTAATGACATGCAGCAAATTAAATTATTAAATTTTTTTAATGTAGCTAATGTTTTGTAATCGTTACATGTTCTTATTAACGGTAACGTTACCGTTAATTTGTGGGAATTTTTCATAGCGGCCGCCCCCATACCTTCCATTTTGCGGGGATACGGCCGGGTTCCCTTAAATGGCTTCTTTGAATTACATGATTTTTATTACTTCTTATTTTTGAAAAATAAGTTCAAACGATTTACATTTTTAAAATAACACATCTAAAATCATATTCATTGCACATATAAAAAAATATTCATTGAACATATTTTTTAAATTATATTTACGATATTGCATTATAAAATTAAATCATATATCACATATTAAATATTTTATATACTCAATATATAAAACAATTAATTACACATAAAATTATTGAAATTATACAATATTTCACAGAGAATAAAATTGCTGAACTTATAAAATTAGGCATTGATCATATTGTAAATAGATATATAAGATAATATAAATCTCTCATTAACTTTGAACCTTGAGCAAATAAACAAGAATATCTTCAAGTTCAATCTGCGCTAAAAGTTCTCGTTTAACTGACATCATTAAAAACCCTTATAATTTTTCTTGGCCTATATTATCTCTCAGCCTATTTTTTATAATTTTAACTTTACTAAATGTTCTCTCGCAATTAACCTGCGTAAATTACAAAGTAAAATGTATTCATATGCCAAAAATAAATTAGTGTATGCACTTGTGTGCATATTGTATCTTTTAAGAATTTCATACATGCATTAAACACTTGTTACATATATTATTACACTATGAGTTATTATCATTTTGAAATAAAGGCCTTTTCAGAAATACCCTTACTATTTATTTGATTAAAATGCCTTGAGTGCAAATATTCACATTCAAAATAAGCTCTCTATTCGCAGAAAACCGTTCGGACAAAGCTGTTTATAATTTGATCAATTATAGGGCGAAATACTTAGACCCTATAAAGGTCAATAGATTCTTGAGGATGTTCACCTTGGCCTTCATCCTATATATTCTCTTCGCTCGTCCTATTCGATTTTTTAGCAAAGCATTCTGTACCCAGATACTCTTCCGGAGCTGTGTCTCATTTAAATTATGAGTAATTTTTATTGCTTTATTTTGAATATCGATGATATAGAAGAATAAGTAAATCTTTTATCATTTTCCATGCTGACAAAATATCTAAATTTTTGTTTGATAATGAGTGGCTCCATTATTTAAAAAATTTCCAAATATATTATGGCTGCATTTAAAGTTTTAAATATATTATCGATCAAAGACTGCGCTTCTGAATCTAGGAAAATAATTCCCCAGAAAAAAAATCCCCGTTTTTTAAGATATTAAAAATAATAAAATAGGAGAAAAAATTCTGTATAAATATATCCATGGAATAAAAATCCTCAAATAATATATTTAAAATTTTGAGAAAATAAATTTCGGAAAATTATTTTCTAAGAATTATTATTGGGGACCAAAAATCCAATGACAAGACAAATTACAAAAAATCCAAGAGAATAGCTACAAAGGCGGCGGCTAGGGCCAAATCTATGGCATACGATGACATGTACGAAGATCCACATACCAAAGAAGGGCATAAAATATACAGATTAGCCAAACAGCGAGAAAAGAACTCTAAGGATATAAACGGGGCTCCGAAAGTAATCAAAAATAAAGATGAGAAATTGATAATAAAGGAAAAAGAAATAATGAATAGATAGAAAGAATATTTTCAGGAGCTTCTCAACTTTAATCCCCACATACTACATCTAGACGAACACTCCCCATGTCAAAACCTTGTACAGCCAATAACAGAACAAGAAATAATCACATGCCTCAAGCATATGAAAAACAACAAAGCTAAGGGGTTCAGACGATATTCCAATAGAAAGCGCTAAAGCACTATGAGATGATGGAATACATCTCCTCACAAATTTGAGAGGTCCCCCAAAAATGGAGGCAGAGCTATCTAGTTCCTATCTTCAAAAATAAAGGGGATCCACAAAATTGTCAAAATTACAGGGGCATAAAACTAATGTCACACTGTCTAAAACTATACGAAAAAATCTAGAAAAAAGATTAAGAGACATAATCGAAATAGGAGAGACTCAGTTTGGCTATATGCCTGGAAGATCAACAACTGATGCTATCCACGCAAGTAGGCAAATGAGTGAAAAATACAGGGAAAAGAACAAAAAGCTACACATGGTCTTTCTCGATCTAGAAAAGGCCTTCGATAGAATCAAGAAAACTTATCTGGCTACGCCACAAAAAGTTTCGCGAAAAATATATAAGAATAATACAGGATATGTATATGGGCCATACAACAATGGTCGGTAGCACAACAGGTAGTTCGAAGAAGTTCATCAAGGGTCGGCTCTCAGCCCATTTCTCTTCATTACAGTAATAGATGTATTAGCACAGTCTTTACCTCAAACAGTCCCGTGGAATATGATATTTGCATATGATATTGTGATACTTGCCGAATCTAAGGATGAAATGAAAGAAAGATTAGTGAGTTGGATAAATATCCTAGAAACGCACGGATTAAAAGTAAATAGAGAAAAGACGGAGTATATGGTGATAGGAGATGAAACAGAGAGTATTGATATAAATGGATGGCAGATATCGGCAATTGAAAGCTGCAAATATTTGGGCTCCACTATATAAACAAAAGGCACAATAGAAAAAGAGATAAAGAGTAAGATTAATCAAGGGTGGTTAAAGTGGAGATCTTTATCTAGAATGCTATTTGACAAAAGAATCCCACACAAATTAAAGGGAAAAATTTACAGTTCCATAGTACAACCAACTATCCTATATAGTTCGGAAACATGGCCAACCAAAAAATCAGACAAGAGAAGTCTACAAACTATGGAGATGAGAATGCTGAGGATGATTGCTGGGGTGATAAGAAAGGATAAAGTGCACAGTACAAGAATATTAAGTAGTTTAAAGGTAGTGCCCATTAAGACTAAGTTAATAGTAAACAGACTTAGGTGGTATGGGCACACAATGAGAAGGTCTATGAATATGAACTACATAGGAAATAAGGTTGAGAGTTTGAAAGTGATGGGCAAACGTAAAAGAGGAAGGCCAAAACTTGAGCCAGTATAAATTAGATAAAAGAGATTGTATGAATAA